TCATTAGGGCAGAGAACTGGTTGGTAAATTATTTGAATCCCACCACTGACTCCGCCCCACCCCACCCCATTCCATTCTAACCTTCTTCCTAGTGTTGGAAGAAATGTCCTTCTGGGTTCAGTTCCAAGTGGGGGAAAAGACACTGGAAACATGGAGGCTGCTTGGAAAGATGGTTTGATGATGGAACAGGAACCCATGGCTTGAGTTCCTGAACAGAAAAGGGGGAATCAAATGCTTCCAGATATTGGGTGAAGAAGACAAAGAGACTGAGATGCTGAAAGTCCCTGGTTTTATGCCCTTTCTGGCCTTTGATCTTGATCTTGTATTCTGATTGCTTGTCAGACTCCCATGGGGCCATGCAGGGACAACTCTCTAGGCTGTGCTTTGAGTCCAGGTTTGGTTGAGTTCCCAGATGCCCTGTGCTGAGTTGGGTAAATGGCTAATACTATCATGCATTATTCCCATCACCCTGGAGCTGAAGGGGGAGATCTTTGTTACGTAGAATAGACTGGCTCAGGCCCTTTGGTGGCCCATTGATAATGGTGGGGGCTATTAAGAGTGAGTCTGTTTCCTGCCTGTTTCCATTTCTTATCCTGGGAAACATAATATTCTGCCTTTTCAATATTCCCCAAGATATTTCATTTTTCTAGGAGAGGGGTGGGTTTTAACTTCCTATACTAGGGCGGAGAGAGAGGGGCTGGCCCAAGGTCACCCAGCTTGGCTTTGTGTCATCCAGTTTCTAGCCAGAAGCATTAATCACTACACCTAACTGGCTGTCTTGTAAACAAACCACAACAACAACATCTACACACCTCAGAGGGTAATTACATCCTTATTGCTGTTTCACCATCCACTGGAAAGCTATTTTCCTAACGTTGAGCTGAAACCTGTTTTCTTACAGAATTCCACTCATTGTCCTCTGGGGGAAAAGAGAACAGATTAGTTCTGTTTTCTGTTCCTTGACCTGTCAAATACTTGATACAGCATTTCAGCTAAGAATGCCTTCTGAATGGATTGAGGGCTTTCCCAAAGGAGGATTCACCTTTAACTTCCCTGAACATTTTCATCCTTACCCGCAAACCAAATGGGCTTGTGGTACAGATGCAGAGATGTCAGAATGGGAGGTGTTCGCTATGTCAGCAGGCGTAGAATGAAGCGGAACGTGATGGAGAACAGTAGCATGATAATCAATTCCTTAGTCTTTAAAGCATTGCAAGCTTGTCTGCTGTGCTTGTTTGCATTGTTTTAAAGCTAATGGCATGTCCTCCAATGGAGCCTGAAGGTATCACCCTAAGCATTCTTGAAGGAAAGAATGGTATTGAAGGAAAGGAAGGTATACTGTATTTGTATTTGTATTTTATTATTTGTATGCCGCCCTTCTCCGGGAGGACTCAGGGCGGCGAACAATTCANAGATTACATGATTGTTCCATGTTCATTTAAAGGTACATTATCTGAATGCCCTTGATTAATTCATTAAATTTATTGTCCCTAAACCTTAGGGGTGCATTTTTCCTCTATTAAGGTGATTCAGATAAAGAGAGATATAGAAGAGCTATAGATCTTAGAAGGGACATGGTGGCTCAGTGGCTAAGATGCTGAGCTTATCAATCAGAAGGTCGACAGTTCAGCGGTTCGAATCCCTAGTGCAGCATAACGGCATGAGCTCCCATTACTTATCCCAGCTTCTGCCAACCTAGCAGCTCAAAAACATGTAAAAATGCAAAAAGAGGAACCACCTTTGGTGGGAAGGTAACAGCATTTCATGCACCTTTGGTATTTAGTCATGCCAGCCACATGACCAAAGAGACATCTTCGGACAGCGTTGGTTTTTTGGCTTTGAAACATAGATGAGCACCTCCCTCTATGTGTGAGGGGGACCTTTACATTTACATTTTATAGATCTTAGAAATAAGTGAATACCCACCTTACTTCATAAAGGAGCTCTGAGGGAGTTTTCAACTAAACCTTCATTAGACTAAAGAATTATCTGAAACTTACGAAGCCCGGTTCAATACTGTTGTAAAGAAAACAACATGGATAAGTCCAGGAAGTTACTGACAGTTGAAGTAGACTCAAAGGAGATTTTTCTTGATTTGATAAAGCATGTTACATGACAGCTGCCATTATAATTACCAAGACACCAGAAAACGTAACTGTCATGGCCTTTAGTTTTCTGTCTGAATAACATATTCCCCTCTGCCCTGAATTATTTTACAGTTATAAGTATGACTTTCTAGTATTATCTTGTAGATAAGTTCAACCCCAAAGGATGATTCTGTCAATGTTGTTTGTTGCTGTGGTTGTTATTTTAAATGTATATACTATTTTTGATCAGACATAATTCACATTAATCCCACAGGGAAAAAAAACATTGTGTTGTAGGGATTTCTCTGCTGAGTTGCTTTTAGAATTAATCATTGTGGCTTCTCCCCATGAATCATCGGTAGATTTCTAAATGGACTATAGATCTTTTTCCTCAAGCAACAATTCTTCCCAGAAAGGGATAATCCTTACTGTGACATTTAGTAATCAGCTTCCTTAGATGCACTTGCGGTATATTTGCTTGTTTTAAATATATCACTTCTATAAAATTAAAATCTCTATTTATATTCAGGAGATGCCATGTATAGAGTCTAATTAAATTCTCAAAAGAATTGATGAATATGCAGAATACAATAATCTAAAAAAGAATTTGATTTTTTTTAATGCAATGCTAATTATTAAAAGTATGCATGAAAACTCATCATGCATTAGCCGCTGGTTTATTGTTTATTGTTTCTTTGTTTATTAAGTATCAATGCCTTTCTCTTTAGAATTTTAGAATTTTCATCCACTGATAGTTATAATAATTTATATGCCTAACCATGGGGTCCCGAGTGTGGTGAGCCCATGTGTGGATAATTTTTTTTTCATGTTATCTAAAAGATGGTCTCCTGATTTTGATAATATTACAATAATACAATAATACAATAAAATAGCAGAGTTGGAAGGGACTTTGGAGGTCTTCTAGTTCAACCCCCTGCCTAGGCAGAAAACCCTATACCATTTCAGACAAATGGCTATCCAACATCTTCTTAAAGACTTCCAGTGTTGGGGCATTCACAACTTCTGGAGGCAAGT